AGTTACAGATGTAGCTGCTCTCCGGAAGTCAAGTAGCAACAACTGTGCATCCAGCCCAGGCACTGTGGAAGATGTAAGGGAAATTGTAAATGAATTTTCTTTCCTTAGAATGACCATTAATTAACGTAAAACCCAATAGGTTCATAATGCAAAATATGTAAATTGCTTGGATGACAACAGGACTTTTATGAATGCACACTGAAGAATGTCCTATAGAGACCCATATAAGAATGCCTATGAATACTACAGAATGATGAACAAATTGTTTTTAAAATTTGAATTCATTTTATTATATTTTAATATGTTGATAACATGTTATAATTTAATTACACTTCTATACTTTGAGTAGCATTACTATAATAATATTAATACTTGATGTCACAAATAATATTTTCAAGGACCAATACCCAAGAATAACAACTCATTTGTTCAGGATTAATTCTTTTAAAAATATGTATATTTTTATTGTTTTCAGAGAGGAAGGGAAAGGGAGAGAGAGATAGAAACATCAATGATGAGAGAGAATCATTCATTGATGGCTGCTTCCTGCACACTTCCTACTGGGGATCGAGCCCGCAACCCAGGAATTGAACCATGACCTCCTGGTTCATAGGTGGATGCTCAATCACTGAGCCACACCGGTCGGGCAAGGCAAAATTCTTTTTAAATCTCAAATTGTTGTTACATGTCTAGTGGAATAACTGCCAGTAGGATTCCAATTTTTTCTAGTAATAATTCATATATGACCTTAGCCAATGAGGCTAAGCCAATTACATCAATATAATATACCTCAATGTTCTCATCTGTAAGAGGGGGCAATACATTTCTGTTTTATTGCATATGATGATGAGATTAACATGAGATTACATGCAAGAGAATTCTTTCAAAAATGCTATAAAACTGTAAGGTGTTATTAATCTGAGATGCTGTGAAAATGTATGACCAAATGTTTGTAAAGTCATTTGATGAGAAAATGACAGTAATTGCCTTTTAAAGATGGGTGTAGGGTGACCAATCAGGGACAAGCTGAGGCTAGTAAGAGAATGGATACAGTGAAATGAGAAAATTACTAAAATAATGGAATTTTCCATAAAATAAGATATTTTAGCTCGGCCATCTTCTGATATTCCTTTGAAAAAGCTGTAAGAATAAAGACATACATCTTTACAAAGTTAATAACCAGTAAATATAATTGCATTTTTCTGTCATTCTCTTTATCCCCTTTTTAGTTGTTAGTTCCCAGCATTTTAAATTCTGAAGTTATCTTGTGCCAGTACCATGGTGAAAACACAAATATTTATATTTACCCGAATTTTCCCCCAGGCTAAAGACTTTTGTCCTGGAAGTATATGCTAATCTTTGGACAGTTTGGTATTGACTTTAGCCAATACTAAAGGCATAATTCAATATATGCTTTTAGTTGCTCAGAGCTAGTCACTTACTGACACCAGATTCCAAATACAGAAGGGCATTTCATTGTTTCTGAGTCCTGAAACATGAAAATAAATTTAAAAGAAAAGAAACCTTTCAGCCTGAGAATTGTGTTGAAATACATAAACATATGAAACTTAGTGACTCAGATTGTTAGCCACAGAGTCACTGGTTAGGCTGGATGAGAGCCACTGTGGACAAAGGCCAGTCATAAGGATGATGATATTTTGCTTTTCTTCAGTGCTGAACAAAACCCTTTACAAATGTTACAAGAACAAAAGAAAAAGTGGAAGACACTTTCTTCCAAATGTTCAGGCTAAGTAAGAATCTTGCTACCTTTGAAGTATTTTTCCTCTTAAATACAGAAGAACTCTAGTTGCGAATAATTGTGATACAGAGCAACTTAAGCAAAAGCCTCATTAGTATTCAATTAGCATAGTAAGCCCTCTTTCCTGGCCTCTTATTTGAAGCAGATTGAATCCAATGTGTAGTTTTAGAGTAAAGAAAACAATGGCTCCATAGTAGTTCTTACAAACAAAGCCAGGAACTACATTCAGAATCATATTTTGTATTACTACACTTTCATTAGGAATTAACCTTCCACCAAAGAATGCACTGTGGGGTAGATTTAAGCTTGTTCTTTTGCAATAATGTCAGG